GGCTCCTAGAGCATAGAATAGAATTTTTATTCAGGTATTAACATCTTCCATAAAGCAAAATAAATAGTTTATTTAGGCCAGGCCTACACTAGAAACAGGCTGGCCACTACAAACCTGATACAGCTTATCCAGCCAAAGTAATGTTTTTGCCAGTACAGCTTGTACAAGTGCTCTGAGCAAAATAAGCTAAACTGGCAAAAGTACTTTTATGCTGGTACAACTGTGTCTATATGAGGACTCTTGTTGGCATAAAAATCAAATCCCTAACTGACCTTACTACAATGGCAAAAATGTCTAGTGTTGACCTGTCCTTAGTAACATTAGTGGAGATAAGTAATTTTTCATTAGCTCTGAATTGCACTGAGCTTTGCTACATTCAATGTAATTTATAATTTAAAAAAAATTTCAAGACAAAATTATTTTCATTCAGGATAAATGAAAACAGAATCCTGATATTATCCTGGACATCAGTGGGGGATCCTCTTTATGAGAAACTGAAGCATTTTCATTAAGGAGCACGGAAAGTGCACTTATATACTTATCACACTCATATGCATGGGTTTATTTTCCCAATAAAAAGACCATCACTACAAGACTACAAAACTAGCTATATTATTATTGTCACTTGACTTACAAAGACAGCCTTTGATACATGGCACAGGTGAGGACTTCTTCCTCAACAACTAGATCTGTCTCACTGATGAAGGATTTATCTATACTGCAATCAAAGGTGTGATTGCAGCTCAGATTCCCAGGGATCTAGGAAGTAGGCCTGCCTGGGCTAGGGTTAGGGTTGAAGGAGGTTAGTTTCCCTGCCACAGGGTTAATGTTCTAGGAGATAGGTGTCCCGAGGCTAAGGTCAAGCTTCTAGGAGGTAGGTGTCCACAAGTCAGGATTAAGGTTCTAGGAGGTAGGCTTCCCCAGGATAGGGTTAGGGTTCTGGTTCTGAATGGTAAGCCTCTCTCAGCTAAGGCTAGGGTTGTAGAAGGTAGGCCTCCATGAGTTAAGATTAGGGGCTCTAGACGGTAGGACTCCCTGTCATAGGCGTAGCACTGTAAGATGTGGTTCTTTCACAGACAAAGGTTACGTTTCTAGGACCTAGGCCTTCTTGGTCTAGGGTTATGATAGAAAGAAAAAGGTTTCCCTGAGCCTGGGCTAGGGTTGCATGAGGTTGGCCAGCCCAGGCTTGGGCTAGGGCTGCAGGAGGTCGGCCGGCCCGGGATTGGGCTAGGGCTGCAGGAGGTCGGCCGGCCCGGGCTTGGGTTAGGTTTCTAGCACTAAGCACTCTGCAGGGTAGGTTTAGGTTTAGAAGAAGTAGACATTGCTAGGATAGGGATAGGGTTTGAGGCGGTGGGACTTCCCAGGTAAGGGTTAGCTTTCCAGGAGGTAGGTCTCCCCGGGTTATGATTATGGTTCCAGGGGGTTAGCCTTATTTGGCTAGGCTTAGGGTTCTAGTACTAAGGCCTCCCAGGATTAGGGTTGCAGGAGGTAAGCCTGCCCCAGGCTAGGGTTAGGGTTCTAAGAAGCAGGCTGCCCCAGGCTAGGGTTAGGGATCTAGCACTAAGTGCTCGGCAAGATAGGTTTATTTTCCAGGAAGTAGGTGTCACCAGGTTAGGAGTAGGGGTGTGGAGGGCGTGCCTCCCCAGGCAAGGGTTGTGGGAGGTAGGCTTCCCTGGACTAAGGGAAGTTTCTATGAGTTAGGTCTCCCACAGCTAGGATTAGGGTTGTAGGAGGTAATCTAGCTAGCATGGCTAAAAACAACAGTAAGCTGCCTGTCATACCCTAAAATACAGTTGTTTATAAAAATATACTCTCAGCATTTAAGTTGACAATGAAAAGAGCTTTTTCCTTACCTTATCCTTAACATCCAAAGGGCATTTACTCTCACAGAGAAATTTCAGAGTTTGTACATGACCATGTCGAGAAGCCCAGTAGACTGCATTAGATCCAGCCTGTTCAAAATATTTGATTATAAAAGTAATGAACAAAAATATACACTTCAGGATATTCACTAGGCTATAACTTTGTGCGTGCTGTGCGCGCACACACTGACGTATGTGCTGAACAACAGTAGACTCATCCACAGCCAAAATAAACCAACGAAACAATAAAACCAAGAAAATCTCCACAAGTTTTTCAGAAGAGCCAGGATTAGAGCTTTCATCAAACCCTTGACGTTTTGGTACTTCATGTCTGTTGAACAAGAGTTAATATCAAATTATCTTAACATTCCCGTATTCTCTTAAAAGATAGTTTGCCAAGCTACTGGGGGTGGAAGGAAGAACCACCAAACAACACTTCATGGAGATAAATACTTTCCCAAATGTTTTAAGTCAATACATAGTGATTTAACAAGTTAGTGGCTCAGGCAACTTACATTATTACAGCCAAAGCCACCACACTTTTTTAAACAAGTATAAATGTTTTTCACAAAGAATCTCCATTATAGCCTTTGCGTTTTAATAGAAATGACAGCTCAAGTAATTAAACAGTACATTTATCATTCTGTAGCTGTTTGTTAAAAACACTCTGGCTAATTTGGTGTAAGAGAAATATTAAACTAATTCGATGAAGACAGTTTCTAAAGTATAAACAACCTTTTAAGATTAATAACTTGAAATAATTTAGTACATTAGCTGAAATAAAACCCACTATTATGATAGAAAACTCATTAGTAGCAACTAAAGTTGTTAACAAAAGGAGAAAAATTATTTTTGTCTTTGTCTTTTTGCTATAGCAGAAACTAGATAACTGTATTCGCTAATAGTTTCTTTCTTTATTTCCATAAAAGATCTGTCATGACCTGCTTGTCTCCTGCTAAAATGTACTGGACTAAAGAGCACTTAAATAATTAATTACGACAAAATAGAATCCTGACCTTATCCTGAATATCAATACGGGATCCTCGCTTTATGAGTAACTGAAGCATCTGAATGTTTCCACAGCCAGCAGCAATTAGCAGTGGAGGTGTTCCATGCTGAAAACAAAGAATAAAAAATGGAACAATATTGTCTTTGGAGAGATTTGGATGTGGAGGGGAAGAGTGCTGAAATAGCAATTTGGACTTACAAATTTACAAAGGAACTACTGATTTTCCATATTATTGAGAGAAAGTCACATTTAAATAAATGGTCTACAGGGAATAATCTACAAACATGGGCCAGCGTTTTCAAATTAGGGTGCCTGAAATTAGGCTCTACATCTATATTTATGACCTAAATAAACACAACCTCATTTTCAAATGAGTTGAGCACCTGAAGTTCTCTTCTATTTAGGCTCCTAAATAAGGTTTTAGAAGTCTGAATATAAGCAATGGGCACATTATTTTAGAGATACATGCCATCTTCCTTCCTGCCTTATCTGGCAATTTCATGTGACTGCACCACGAAAACAGACCACAGAGATCTTCAAGATTTTTTTGGTAATGACATCATGTAAAAATCATCCCATCTCAGAAAACAGCTGAACAATACACATCATCTAACACTACCTATTAGGGCTGTCGGTTAATTGCAGTTAGCTCACACCATTAACTAAAAATAATAATAATTAAAAATCACAATTAATTTCAGTTTTAATCGCATTATTAAACAGTAGAATACCAATTGAAATTTATTAAATATTTTTGGATGTTTTTCTACATTTTCAAATATATTGATTTAAATTACAACACAGAATACAAAGTGTATACTGCTCACTTTATATTATTATTTTTATTACAAATATTTGCACTGTAAAAACAAACAAAAAATAGTATTTTTCAATTCACCTAAAGCAAGTACTGTAGTGCAATCTCTATCAGGAAAGTGTAACTTACAAATGTAGATTTTTTTTTTTTTTGGTTACATAACTGCACTCAAAACCAAAACAATGCAAAACTTTAGAGCCTACAAGTCTACTCAGTCCTACTTCTTGTTCAGCCAGTCGCCAAGACCAACAAGTTTGTTTACATTTACAGGAGACAGTGCTGCCCACTTCTTAATTACAATGTCACCAGAAAGTGAGAACAGGCGTTCACATGGCACTTTTGTAGCTGGCATTGCAAGGTATTTACATGCTAGATATGTTAAACATTCGTATGCCCCTTCATGCTTCAGCCCCCATTCCAGAGGACATGCTTCCATGCTGATGACGCTCGTCAAAAAAATAATGCATTAATTAAATTTGTGACTGAACTCCTCAGGGTAGAATTGTATGTCTCTGGCTCTGTTTTACCCACATTCTGCCATATATTTCATGTTATAGTAGTCTCAGATGATGACTCAGCACATGTTCATTTTAAGAACAATTTTGCTGCAGATTTGACAAAATGCAAAGAAGGTACCAATGTGAGATTTCTAAAGATAGCTACAACATTCGACCCAAGGTTTAAGAATCTGAAGTGCCTTCCAAAATCTGAGAGGGATGAGGTGTGGACTCACTACTTTGGAATGTTATCGAGCAGAACCCGTCATCAGCATGGACGCATGTCCTCGGGAACAGTGGTTGAAGCATGATGGGACATATGAATCTTTAGCACATCTGGCATGTAAGTATCTTGCGACAAGTGTACTTGTAGGCTCTAAAGTTTTACATTGTTTTATTTTTGAATGCAGTTATTTTTAGTACATAATTCTACATTTGTAAGTTCAACTTTCATGATAAATTGATTGCACTACAGTACTTGTATTAGGTGAATTGAAAAATACTATTTCTTTTGTTTTTTACAATGCAAATATTTGTAATAAAAATAAATATAAAGCGAGCACTGTACACTTTGTATTCTGCGATATAATTGAAATCAATACATTTGAAAATGTAGAAAATATCCAAAATATTTAAATAAATGGTATTCTATTATTGTTTAACATTGCAATTAATCACAATTAATTTTAATCGCTTGACAACCCTACTTCCTATATCATATTTTCTGTTTCCTCTTTCTGTAGCCTGGGCTATTACCTTTAAAAAAAAAAAAAAAAAAAAAAGAAGTCTTACAAACCCAATTTTTGCAAGTGAATTATCCAAACATGCTCAATTTTTAAAAGGCTGTTCAAAGAGGAAGAACTGATGCCCTGAATCTGGGATTCAAAGGGAACATTTTAAATGCAGGTATCTTCACCTGCATTAAGAAATAGTCCCTAGCAAAAGCAAAGGTTGGTTCCAAGAATAACACGTTTTAGGAGAGCAACTGCTCCAAGCTGTGCATTGGAAACATGAATGTGAGTAAATATATTACATCATCATTGTATGGCTGTTAAAAATACAGTTACAAAAGTTTTCTTGTGTAATTTATTCGGATATGCACTAAACCATCCTTAATCTTGCTCCCAATCCTGCAATCCTTTACCGTAGTCTTAAATAAATAAAGTTATCAATTTGATAGTTGGATTTCACCCCCCAACAAATCCTCTTGCATGCTCCTAACTAATATTCACTCTCTTTCCCTTCAAACACATCCCCTTCACACCAACACATACATTAAAGCCACTGGTATCCAGGCTGTCTCCTTTCCTGCCCACACCACACCAAGGATACATGATACATGTCCCGTCCCACCCCACCCCACCCCCTCTATGAAATCACTGAAATGTAGGACTGGAAGGGACCTCAATAGGTCATCTAGTCCAGTCCCCTGGCATTGAGGCAAGACTATGTATTGCCTGACATCCCTGACAGACGTTTGTCTAACCTGTTCTTAAAAACCTCCAATGATGGAGACTCCAGAACCTCTCCCTAGGTACTTGGTTCCAGTGCTTAACTACCCTGACAGTTACAAAGTTTTTCCTAATGTCCAACTTAAACCTCCCTTGCTGCAATTTAAGCCCACTACTTCTTGTCCTGTCCTCAGTGATTAAGGAGAACAATTTATCATCCTCCTCTTTATAACAACCTTTTATGTACTTTAAGACATATGTTTCCCCCCCCCCCCCCCCAGTCTTCTCTTCTCCAACTAAACAAACCTAATTTTTTCCATCTTTTCTCATAGGTCATGTTTTCTAGATATTTAATAGTTTTTGTTGCTCTTCTTTGGACTTTTTCCAATTTGTCCACTTCTTTCCCGAAGCGTGGTGCCCAAAACTGGACACAGTACCCCAGCTGAAGCCTTATTAGTGCTCAATAGAGTAGGATAATTACTTCTTGTGTCTTTCTGGCAACACTCCTATAATACATCCCAGAAAGATGTTCACTTTTTTTGCAACAGTATTACATTGTTGACTCATATTTAATGTGATCCACTATAGCCTCCAGTTCCTTTTCTGCAGCACTGCTTCTAAGGCATTCATTTCACATTTTGTATTTGTATTCCTCCCAAGTATAATAGTTTGCATTTGTCCTCATAGAATTTCATCTTATTTAATTCAGACCATTTCACCAGTTTGTCAAGATCATTTTGAATTCTAATCATATCCTCCCAAAGCACTTGCAACTCCTTCCAGTTTGCAAACTTTGTAAGTGTACTCTCCATGCCATTATCCAAATCATTTATGATTATATTTACTGTTTCCCCCATATGCACAAAGCTTTCTACCCCGTAAAAGAAGGATATTAGGTTGGTTTGTCGTGGCTTGTTCCTGACAAATCCCTGCTGTTACTTACCAGCTTATTATCTTCTAGGTGCTTACAAACTGACTGATTACTTGCTCCATTATCTTTCTGGATATTGAAGTTAAGCTGACTGGTCAGTTAATTCCCTAGGTGGTTGTCCTTATTCCTCTTTTCATAGATGGGCAAATACAGTACCTTTTTTCAGTCCTCTGGTATTTGTCCTGTCCTCTACAAATTCTTAAAAGATAATCATTAATGGCTCAGATTGCTCTTCAGTCAGTTCCTTAAGTATTCTAGGATGTATTTCATCAGGCCCGGCTGACTTTAAGATATCTAACTTGTCTAAGTAATTCTGAACTTGTTCTTTTCCTATTTTAGCCTCAGATCTTATCGTATTTACACTGATGTTTGCTATGTTAGTCATCCGATCATTGCTAACTTTTTTGGTGAAAAGACCACTTTGGCCTTTGCTATGTTTTCTGTTATTGTCTTTCCCTCCTCACTGAGTAATCAGCCTGTCCTTGGTCTTTCTCTTGCTTCTCATGTATTTGTAAAATGCTTTCTTGTTACCCTTTATGTCCCTAGCTAGTTTAATCTCATTTTGTGCCTTGGCCTTTCTAATTTTGTCCTTACATGCGTGTGTTTTTTTTATATTCATCCCTTGTAATTTGATCTAGTTCTCACTTTTTGTAGGACACTTTTTTTCCAATTTCAGATCATTGAAGATCTCCTGGTTAAGCCAGTGTGGACTCTTATTATATTTCCTCTCTTTCCAATGCATAGCTACAGCAAGTACTGCAAACACACACATACCCATTGAAAAAGGTACAGAAGGAGCTTTTCTCCCACCCTGTAGCCCATTGCACTCACAAAGGGCAGGCTCCTGCTGATGTCCTGCACACAAGTTCATGCACACCTGCATGTTCTCCTGTGATGTTGGTATGGAAAGGGGAAGGTTTTGACTGGAAAATGAATTAAACAACACTCCTTTCCCTGAATCCACCCCCACCCCACCAATTTCCATCATGATTTAAAATATTTGTGGTTATAGTTAATTGCAAGTTTTAGGGATTTTTCTTTTTATTACCAAAACTTAATTTTTGTGCTGATTTTCAAGCAACAGTACTCCTTTACATTTCAGAGGCCTAGAAAAAAATATTACGGCTTCCATATCCAGACAGTTTGAGAGGAATGAACAACGAACTCCTAACATAACTTTTCCTAGGACAGCTTACAAGCCATTTGACTGTTAGTCTTATTTCAAATATTACATTTCTATTTTATAGCCACATCTGTTTGTTCTTGTATAGAGTGATATCTGGCCCCCCCTACTTGTCGCAGCATAGACCTATCACCATACCTTGTTGGGTTGATTGACATCATAATTAGTCAGAGATCCCAGGAGATGCTGTAGTCCAGGAACATTGTCATCATTGATGGCATGAATGATGGCTTTCATCACAAATGAATCCTCCTCATCCTCATAGTTAACAAGGAAATAGAAAAAAAAACATCATTTGCTTTCAAAATAATAATAGTAAAAAAAAATAAAAAATCCCCCAGTACCTGTCAGGATAAGCAAAGAAATTTAAATTTTCAAAGCACTGTACAGCCATTTAGCTGCAAGACTGGAAAAAGTATTCACAAGAGTCACTCGGCTAAAATGTAGGAACACTGCTTGGAAAATTTACCCTAATAAGATGTGCATTTTTTCCACATCTGTACACATTATTTACTGCATGAGATTCCAGAGAAGTCTTTCTCCCACATTGTTTCCTTACTGGAATTTTCCATGTATCATCTAAATGGAGAGTTGTATAAAGTAAAGCTGAAGATGCAAGTTATGATAGGAACTTGTTAAAAAAATGCATCTAAAACAACAATATAAGATGCAGGTACAAACCTTGTACTTCCCAGGGATGATCTGTGTTCTCCATGAGAAAGTCAGCAAAAATTCACAGAAAAGAAAATCATGTAGCCTGATTTTTGAATCACTCTAATCTTCCTTATCCTGAGTTTATTAATGTTTTAAACACTAGCACTTGCCTGCTAAAGAGTTGGTGTGACATATCTTCAATGGTGACTCAGTGTTAAAAAGTACAGCAATAGGAGCAAGAGTAGTATGGGTGTTAGAACAAATAGCACAAAAGCAGAACAATAAGAAAAGGACAGTGGAAGTGAGAACGACTTGCACTGGAGGGATAACAGGAGGATAAAATGGGTAACAAAGAAGTCTCTGCAGAATTTTTGATTTTTAAGACTATTAATGCCCAGAAAAAAGTATGTTTACTTCGTTCTAATGCACTAATGTTTAAGCTTTGCTGATCACAGGATATTTCCTAAAGACTGCATTAAAACCTGAAGAGCAAGCTAAAAAGAGAAAGCTTACGGATTTACAAGCTTCTAACTATAGCTCCCAAGGGCTTAAACCTAAAAGGCATACACCTGCATAAACTGAAAGGAAGTTTGTTTGGCCTAGGGTCTAATGTACTCTCTGGGCCCATCCTGCAAGGTCAATAGGAGAGGAGGGTGCTCAACATCTCTCAAGGTATGTAAACATTGAAATTGGGAGATGTGATTGCAGCTTGTGCAGACATACCAGAGCTAGCTTTGATCTACCTAGCTAGTTCAAGTACCAATAGCACTATAACTACAGCAACAGGGGTGGTGGCCTGGGCTAGCTTCCTGAGTAGAACCCTGGGTACATACTCAAGTAGCTAGCCCATGCCCCCACAGCTACACTGCTATTGTCATCCAAGCTACCTTTGATCTAACTAGATCAAAGCTAGTTCAGGTATGTCTACACATGCTGCAATCACATCTCCTGATTTCAATGTAGACATTTTGGGACCAGCTCTGTTTAATATCTTCATCAACAACTTAGATATTGACATAGAAAGTATGCTTATTAAGTTTGCAGATGATACCAAACTGGGAGGGATTGCAACTGCTTTGGAGGACAGGGTCATAATTCAAAATGATCTGGACAAATTGGAGAAATGGTCTGAGGTAAACAGGATGAAGTTTAATAAAGACAAATGCAAAGTGCTCCACTTAGGAAGGAACAATCAGTTTCACACATACAGAATGGGAAGAGACTGTCTAGGAAGGAGTATGGCAGAAAGGGATCTAGGGGTTATAGTCGACCACAAGCTAAATATGAGTCAACAGAGTGATGCTGTGGCAAAAAAAGCAAACGTGATTCTGGGATGCATTAACAGGTGTGTTGTGAGCAAGACACAAGAAGTCATTCTTCCGCTCTACTCTGCGCTGGTTAGGCCTCAGCTGGAGTATTGTGTCCAGTTCTGGGCACCGCATTTTAAGAAAGATGTGGAGAAATTGGAGAGGGTCCAGAGAAGAGCAACAAGAATGATTAAAGGTCTAGCGAACATGACCTATGAAGGAAGGCTGAAAGAATTGGGTTTGTTTAGTTTGGAAAAGACAAGACTGAGAGGGGACATGATAGCAGTTTTCAGGTATCTAAAAGGGTGTCATAAGGAGGTGGGAGAAAACTTGTTCATCTTAGACCCTAAGGATAGAACAAGAAGCAATGGGCTTAAACTGCAGCAAGGGAGGTTTAGGTTGGACATTAGGAAAAAGTTCCTAACTGTCAGGGTGGTTAAACATTGGAATAAACTGCCTAAGGAGATTGTGGCATCTCCATCTCTGGAGATATTTAAGAGTAGGTTAGATAAATGTCTATCAGGGATGGTCTAGACAGTATTTGGTCCTGCCATGAGGGAAGGGGACTGGACTCGATGACCTCTCGAGGTCCCTTCCAGTCCTAGAGTATATGAGAGTCTATATCCAGACTTACACTTGCAGATTAAGTATCAGAGAGGTAGCCGTGTTAGTCTGGATCTGTAAAAAGCAACAGAGAGTCCTGTGGCACCTTTAAGACTAACAGATGTATTGGAGCATAAGCTTTTGTGGGTGAATGACCACTTTGTCGGATGCAGATTGACCTTTAGGTCTTTAAAAATCCCTCTTACATTCAGAAAGAGTATAACAAATTAATTAAAAATGCCCTCCTGTCTGCATTTCACTTGACATTGCTGTCAACTATAGAACTTGTGTGCAACTAGAAGTTTGCCCTTTCTGAATCATCCTGTTCTTCTTGACTAATTCAGAAGGTCAAGCAGACCAGTCCAGGGGAGAAAGGGAGGAACAGTTGCTATGGTAATAAATCAGGATGTTGGAAACAGCGCATTAGAGAATCACAAGCATGTTTGTTTGCATTTCTATAGCACCTGTCATCTTGAACTTTTTCCACAAGTTATACAGACACACTGCTGATATGCAGCTGCTAGCTACATCTGAAGTTGGAATGCAGGAATCAGGTAGCACAACTAAACACGACAGTAAACAGGAAGGGTAATTTTGTGAAAGGACTCTGGGGCAAGCCTATCCTCACCTCTATGCCATTCCAGAGTACTCAGAATTGCCCTCCAGTGGCTTCAGTCATAGCCAGATGATAGACATGACACACAGCAAACACAAGGTGTCATTCAAAAAAAGGTATTGACAGAGTAGAACTCAACACATCTATCTCGGATGAATGAAGGGGCATATTTCTACTGGTTGCTTTTGCTATCTTACTGTGCAGTTACACACTGCCTAGCCCCATTATGCTAACTCCAATTGGAGCCTCTTGGCCCTATCACTAATTAATAATGCACAAACAGGTGCACAGAAGTTTTCCCCCCCCCCCTCAACCCCGTCAACGAACAGCTGTGGTATGACTTGAAGCTCTAGAGCAGGGGTGGGCAAACTACGGCCCACAGGCCACATCTGGCCCTACAGACGATTTAATCCGGCCCTTGAGCTCCCACTGGGGAGCAGGGTCTGGGGCTTGCCCCGTTCCCGCACTCCAGCCGGGAGTGGGGTTGGGGCTCGCTCCGCACTCCGTTTAGGGCCGTCAGGAGGGGTCCGCGCACGGCCCCCGCAGCTCCCGTTGGCTGGGAATCACGGCCAATGGGAGCTGCGCCCGCGGACAGGGCAGCGCGCAGAACTGCCTGGCCACGCCTCCACATAGGAGCCGGAAGGGGGACATGCCGCTGCTTCCAGGAGCTGCTTGAGGTAAGTGCCACCCAGACCCTGCACTGCTGAGCCCCTCCCGTGCTCCAATCCCCTGCCCCTGCCCCAGCCCGGAGCCCCCTCCCGCCCTCCTGCACCCTCCTGCATCCCCAACCCCTCATCCCCAGCCCCACCCCAGAGCCTAAACCACCAGCCGGAACCCTCACCCCCCCCACACCCCAACCCCTGCCCCAGCCCTGACCCCCCTCCTGCCCTCTGAACCCCTTGGTCCCACCCCAGAGCCTGCACCTCCAGCTGGAACCCTCACCCCCTCCTGCACCCCAACCCCAATTTCATGAGCATTCATGGCCCGCCATACAATTTCCATACCCAGATGTGGCCCTCGGGTCAAAAAGTTTGCTCCAGAATGTGTGTGTCATACATTTTTCCATTCTATCTGTCATAACACAAAGGGCATTCCATAACTGTGTTAATACAAGGGACAATTCCTTCTTACACCTTGAAAACTAAGGAACCCTACAGACTTCTGTGGTTTCCTGACTGAGACATACAGATCTCCTAAATCTAAGGCATGCTAAGCAATTGTGCCTTTACTGTGGTGAGCCCTCGGTTGCACAACTCCTTAACATCCATCTCAAGTCAGCTTGCCCCCGCTTTTACATCTGACTGCTTTACTTATTCAAATTTGGCTACTGGTTGCTCATAATTATTTCCTTTCCCTCACATGTTTTCCTGAAACGTTTACATTGTAGCAGCACCTACATTTTTATTCATTTTAAATATTCTAAGCTTTTTTGCTAAAAAATTATGGTTTATATCATACAGTACCCTGAGCAACTCAGATGTATTGATCATTTGTAGGTTATTTTATCATTACTATGGTGTGAAAGTTTCTCATGAATCAAACTACAATAACATGATAAATAAATTTGAACCACAAGTTATTGGACTCAATGCAGAAGTTAGTGAATATAATTCTACAGTCTGTTACGCAGGAGGTCAGAATAAATGATCATAATGGAGCCTTCTGGCCTAAAACTTCCTGATTCTATTCTTGCCACATCGGAAAAAATATCCATTTTAAAATATTTCAGTATTCATGTTGTTATATGTCAAAGTATTTAAAGCATTAAACCAATAAAAATATATGCTTACCAGAGTATCATCGCTCCTAGCAACACTCATGTTACTTCTGGATAGGAAGGATCTTGATAATCTTTGGCACAACGAAATTAAGCGTACTGATTGCTTTTTAAAAATAAGAAAAGAAAAGCTATTTTTACTTAAAATATCAAATAGAACATTTGTGATAGGAAGATACTTCTTTTAAAACAAACTTTATCACCACAGAAAAGGAAATTTGTGGTTTTAAACACATTCAAGTGGAAAGAATTTTTGATAAATCAGGGTTTTCACTGTTTATGCTGTTTACTCATTGGGTTTCATCTGTACTGGTAAAAAAAGAGACTTGTTTGTTTCAGTAGAACACCAATGGGTAGCAAACATTGGATTTAAATTTTTCTATGCAAACAAAAAAAAATTACTTGTACTAAATTCCCCTTGCTCAGGCCATATATTTCATGAAAATACTTCTATGAATGGGGTTTCTCATTTTAAAATGTACACACACACACACACTTTAATTTGGACCTAAATTATCTGACAATGCTCCTTTAAATGTTACATTATACAAAAGGATGAAGATGTCTACACACTGCTTCTTCTTGGACACCAGAGAAGACTGACATTTCTCTTTACAAACACAGTTGATCCCACCTAAACCAGACACTGAATCTTGGCGAACAGATTTCTGAGGGCAGATATTTAGTATTTTTTTCTATTGCTTAAGCCAGAGAGAAAAATCCTATTTCTTGACCTCTATTCCAAAGAAGGAACTTCTCTTTTATAATTTATGCATCCCATTGCTGACTCTCGCTTAACTCTGGTATCATTGTACATAGATTTCTTATGCTACATCCCTTCCTTCCCTTGCTTCAGTGCAGATCTCGCAGTACGTGTGGTGAAGAAGTGAAGTTCTCTCCTTTGCTGATTTTACTCATTACACCTACCCATACTCTGCCAATTCCATGCCCAGTTTCGGTTTATGTGAGCCTAGCTTCTGAGTCTTTCAAGGTGTAGAGCCTTAGACTGTAATCTGTGGGGCAGGAACCAAATTTTTGCTCCCCCCCACACTTTTGACCAACTCCAGTTGTTTCCTTTTAATTGTTTTCAGACTAGTCTCCTTGCATATTTACACTGCCATGCACACCTATAACATCTGACATGACATTAGAGGCATACAAATAAATATAATAAAATATAAATGCTTTTCAAATTGTAAATATGCACTCTTGTTCTTTGACTGTCTTGATAATATATAAAAACAGTTTATATAAAATGAATACAGCTCAGTGCCCAACAATAATTTAAATATTCATACTCAGTTCAGTAATGAATAGAATTTGTCTTTAGCTTTTTACGCTACATCCCCACAACCACAGTAGCTGAGCGCCTACAAATGTACTCCAGTCAACACAAGAAGAAGTTTCTCCTTCCTCTTCCCCCATGCTGCAAAGACTTTGATTTGGTACTAAAATGTATTTTCTATTTTTAATGAAGCTTCAGATAGTAAACTTCATTTGAGCAAAAAAAAGCAATAAAATTAACAATATTTCACTTGTGTTTATCCTGAGAAGAGAATGCCATTACATTCATCACCAGCTTTATGAAGACTTGCTAAATAACTTACTTTCCATTTTCTTCGTGCTGCAAACTTTTTGAATTTCTCCATATTTACTGCAGATGCTTTTCTGCTAAGTGCTTGTTGGGTATCCTTAGGCTATGAGGAAAAGAGGCACAAAAGGATATTTTTAAATATCCCCCAATTATGCCACTGCTTTCACAAAATCATCTTCCTGCTGTACAATTTTAACTCCTACTAAACAATTATCTGTGGTTGCAAAGACAGTGAAGTCCACAGCACTGCAGTAAAGCATACAAAAAGGCACCATTCTAATATGCAAGACCTAGCAGAGTGTGCAGTCAGTATCTTTGCAGAAAGCAGCAGGCACTCCAGGAAGCCACACCTGTAGAAATTTCATGTGTTCCAAAGAGTTAGGGTCTCTATGCACATATACCATCCCTCTTTTTTCCTTAAGTTGTAGTTTAAAAAAAAAACCCAAACCCTAAGTTCCATCTCATTGTGTCCTAAACACAGTTTATGAATACAGTGCTGACTAGAGGCATAGACAAACAATTGTACCACCTTATTCATATCACAGAGGCATTAAATTGTCACCTCTAAACATAAATTAGAAGTATCAGTATAGTTAACTATTTTGCTGCTGACTGCCTTAGCAGAAACATCCAGCTAATGAGCTTAGTCAGAGTAGTTGACTGCTCTATTAATTTGAAAGATCTTTCCAGAGTAATAAGGTAGCAAGTTTCAAAAGAAAGTTAAATGTTTTGTAAACCTTTTAATTTTTTTTATCCTTATCCTAGGACTTCTCTCTGTCAGGCAGAGACCCCTCCCCCATCCTGGTGTACCAGCAAAGACCTGCTTTCTGTAAGGATTTCCTGGTTGATTATAAATGCAGCCCAGGTTTTGTTCTGCTTTCAGTATAATCAATTTGGTATCCAACATGTCCCATTTCATTTCACTAGTTTACAAGTCAAGTCCCAGCTACAACTGTGATGGGCTCCAGTGCTGCAAGCCACCTCTCAGGGCTTACCTATATGATGATTTAATGTGCGGCAAGCTGGTGTGTGAATCTACAGCCCTCTTGCTGGCAGCGCACTAAGTGGCAGTGTAGACCCTGCTGCCATGAACTAGAAGTTTCAGAGTGTGCTTTAGGTAAACCTGTTCTATAGAAGTTTTAGTGTGTGGCAGCAGGGTCCACTGGCCACTTAGTGCACAGCAGGCTGATGCGCTGTAGATTTACACTTGAGTTATGCACTCCATATAGACAAGCTCTCAGAACTAACACTGAGCACCAACCCTCAGATGAGTGCCTCCTTGTGTTAAGTGACCTGGCACTCTCTGTGATTAGGAAGGCCCCAAATGCTAGTGTACGATCTAGCTTAACATATGGAACTAGGGTGCTAGATTGTTATTTTTTTAAACAGGGGCAAATGGTGGCAGGAGGACGAGATATCTAGAAAATCAGGGTGTTCAGGCTATCAGACTAACTTCTTCTCTTGTGCCAGTAGCTGGAAAACTTGAACCAGAGTAACTACATTAATATAAAACTGCTTAAGTACAATTTAAACCAGTTTAAGTGTGTGTACTTTTAGAGTTCATACTAGTGTAACTAAACTTATTTAGTTACTCTACCTAAAACAGCATGAAATTATTCAGCAGTTTTTCACAAAAAAAAAATGCAGATTTGGGTTGACAAAACCATTTTGCAAATTCATATTGATTTTGGCTGTTTTGGTCAAAACTTTTTCAGAAATCTCAAACTGAAATGTTTCAGTTTTTTGGGTTATAGTCACAAAGACTTAACTGCCACTCGCAGAACTGTGGTGGTATTATACCCAATATCCCAGTGGTTGGAGCACTCACCGGCTTTTTGCGAGACTCAGGTTTGACTCCCCACTCTGAAGCAGGGATTTGAACCCAGGACTCCCTGAACTATAGGGTATTCTGGGGTGTCTGTCTCACAATCTCTCCTGTTGAAGCTGTTTCACATTAAATAAATAATTAAATATTTCTTTGGGGCGTGGGGAGAGAAAGACTCTATAGTCTGGTAGTTAGGGCACTCAGCTGGGGAGACACCCACATTCCAGTCCCTGCTCCAATGAATACTTAATAATTTATACAAAGTAGAATATCTTTTAATAGGAGACACTGAGACACACCCGTCCCCCCAACAGTTAATACTTTAGTGATTAGGGCACTCACCTGGGATGGGTGAGACCTGAATTCAAGTCCCTGCACCAGAGTGGGGATTCAAACCCGCATCTTCCACATCCTAGGTATAAAGGAGGCAACACCACTACCTTGCGTTTGTGAACGTCCCTTTGTGAATCTAACCCTTTATTGACAAAATTCCTTTTCTTTATTAAATTAAAGGGGTCAAATGCCCAAAATGTTTAGTTTCAGGTTGAACAAAACGTTTTGTTCAATCCCAAGCTATTTTGTTTTGAAACGGCCAGGGACTTGAAAAAATGGTTATTTGCACAGCTCTAACTCTAGTGCAAAAAATCCATACTAAACCAACTGTTGAGTGTAGTTATACTCTGAAGAGACTTTGTAAGAATGTCTCAGAGAGGTTCCATGATTCTGGTTCAATGATTTCCAGATGAAACCCGCTATATATAGTTAACACGCAGAGATTTCCCCGCTCCCCTAACTACCAGCCTTGCAAACTCAACCAAGTACCTTGAGAGCCAAGCTGCATCTTGTACATCATCATGACCCACAATAAAAGTTCTGGGCAAGCCAGAATATGTTCTTAGTGACATTTCCATCACTCCACTGCTTTTACTGACTTTGCATAGGTATAAACCGACTGGAACTTAAAGCATTATTCTATTGATTGTGCATAAGGAGGAACAGAATCCAGCTCACTTCCAATTAGGAGTGCTGGCTCTGCAGGGCTAACAGCAGTATGCACTTATTTTGTCCCTCTTTATTTAGCTCACAAAAGGAAGCAGACAGGACGGAACTTATGCAGGGAACAGATCTAGTGAACAAAGTGCAATTTTTACTCATCCTTCAGAGCACAACTGCATTTTAATAAGACCTAACAGATTATTATACAGCAGTGTGCTGGATGAGGCTCCCAGGAGCTCCTTGTTGAAATTATGTTACCATTAAATGGAAGTGAATGTTGGGATGATTGATGGAGTTAGGTCCTCTCTGGATACTGCTAAATCAAGTCTTCCAGAGATGACAAGTGGCAGGGGAAGGAACAATTTTATTTTAATTTTTCAAAACCATACTCTTAGAAATGGGCCAGATTGCACCAAGTGGCCTGTATTATCAAAAAAGGCCAGAGGCCCTATTCTCCCACTTGTGACCTAGCTATCCCTCTCCCCTGTGGAAAAGATGACACCATATCTTAGAAAACCCGACTCAAGCCAAAATATTAATTGGGCAAGAAGTGGATCAGTCCCGCAGTTCCCTTCTTAGCCCAATTAGGGAGTGAGGAAGAGACATGGCTCTCCTTAGCTCAGTCATCATTTAGCCACACTTAAATAGGGATTTGAAAAGATGGTTAGGAACAGGGGGAAACTGGATTTGATTCAGAAAACGTATCTTTGTTGGTACACTTTTTCCTGAACATTTGTCTCTCCCTGACCAAGCACAAGTGTCGTCTGAATAATGGGCTACAGTACTTGCCGATCACTACCATGTACAGAACATAACTTAATTAACTCTATAGCCAATATGCAGTAGCCTTCAATTTAGCTTTGCAAACAGCAATATTTATTAAGTGGGAACACCACTTTATGCTTTTTAGTTTTCATGAAGTAGTTGAATAAGCACAAGTATACATACTACAGATTGATAAACAAAAGAGAATATAAAGTGAATTCCTTATACACTAACCTTGATCCAGGGATGCTGCAAGCTATCTAGAATTGTCATTCTCTTCCTTTAAATGGGAGGAAAAAAATACTCCTTTTACTTTGTTGACTCTAGCAGATCATATTTAATTAACAAGCACAAACACAGAATACAAATGGAACCATGATATGTAATTCAGGATGCCACAGAACTAACACAGGAAGAGAAGTAACTCACTTTGGATCCTTAACTAGAAGTCTTCTTATAAAATCTTTAGCTAGGGCACTGGTATTACTGAAGAATTCTTCCTCAAAGTCATAATTCACAGCGGATACGTTTGCTAATGTTTCTTGTTTTGTTTCTCCAAGAAATGGTGATGCACCACTTAGGCTGTTAAAAGTAAGATTGGACACAGTACATATTATATGCTACATGCCATTTCATCCCTGCAAGAGCTGACAAGGAAGTGCAAAAAAAAGAGGCTTTCTGCTTTTAGAGTTCAGACATATCTTAAAGATGACCTGATCTTACAAAGACGAAAGCTGTGATTTAACTTCAGAGAATTAAGATTAAAGTCACTTTGGAACACTGCCTAATGATCTAAACAAGGCTTCCATTCCACTATCTCAGCATTGACTCTTAGCTATTATTTTAACAATTATGCTATAGCTTTTTTGATTACTCAACTTCAATTAGGTGAAAATCATGTATAATCAATGCAGTTTAGTTAAGTGGCCATATGCTATGTCTATGTCTTATTGACATCAAAAATACACCACACAATTGAAAGCCAAAAGGACAGAATCAGAATATAATGTTAGAATAAAAAAATAAAATGTTCCCCAAAGAATGATTTATGGATTTTGATACTTACAGAATGTAAGTTATTACACCAATGCTCCTGGAGAGAGAGAAAGGGAAAGATTCAGAACAGTAATATAATATATAATAATGACAGCTACCATCTCAGAATGGTTCATTAACTTACCACATATCTGCCTCAAGACCAAGGGGTTCATAGTTTACTATTTCAGGAGCTAAGAGAGAATGAATAGTATGTGAAGTATATAAGCAAACAAAGAAGCAAAGAGCAGTTTTATTTAATTCTGACACCTTATAAACACTGATTTATAACCTGCAATGTCATTATAACAGAAAATCTTTTACAACCAAGTTACTGCTGAGGAATATGGTATACTTTACAAAATCTCAAAATGTCATTTATTGCACACAAATTCTGTAAATCATAGCTAAGTTGAGACATGCCACATGCATGGTTTCATAGGCTTAAGGAAAAGAAAAAACAATATATTAAGGCATAACCTGTACTCACCAACAAACTCTGGTGTTCCAAAGATATTTTTAAACTCATTTCCAAAGTCAATTTTGTGTGCTAAGCCAAAGTCAATAATCTTAATGCGGGGCTTTGGTACATTTCTATCCAGCAGCATTATGTTTTCAGGCTTTCAAAACAAAAACCAACAAACAAAGATTTCATAATTTGCACAGGCTACAAGGAAAGGCACTTAACTATGTGTTTCAGTCTCTTGCCCTTGCCTTAAAAATACACGTTCCCTAGAGAAGCCACATTAGGATTTTAACATGGATTAGCATGTTTTAGCTAAAGTGAAATCCTGGCTCCATTGAAGTCAATGGCACAGGCTCATTGATTTCTGTGGTGACAGGATTTTACCTTTAGTGCAGACACTGCAGTTGTAGGTTCAACAAGTGTTAGCTAGTTGAGGTAAACCCTAGGTTCTCCTCTACCTGGGACGACGAACATGTTAAAACTACTACTTCCTTTGATATACTAGGATTTTAACATGTGTTAGCTAGCACATGTTAAAAATTCACCTTTGTTTCCATAGTGTAGACATGGCCATTATCTTCAGGAGGACTTCAGCACCTCTTTAAATACCTTCCTTGAATTGAGATGCCTTCCTGATTTGGGGCCTATATACCTCCACAACCCAAAATCAAGAAGAAATATCAAAATGCTCAACACATGAAAATATTGATGGGTATGATAAGAGAAAACTAGTAAAATAATATTAAAAAGAATTCAAAATATTAATGGAGTTCACATATGCAAAAATACATAGACATTTCTCACATAATATTACTTTTTTCTTTTCACTGAGAAATTGATCTGAAACGGTCTTTTCACTTTTTGGAAATTGCTACCTGCTTCACAACCATCCTTCACAGTAAATAATTTTGTTGTCTTGTTTCGGTTTAAAGAAGTGCAGATCTTTTGAGTGAAGGCATTAGATGCATGGAATGGAAACACAGCCAGAAGAATTTTCCAGTTCAGAATGTTGCATCAAAATTAGAGTAGGGTAAAATTAGTCGGAAAGTTTTTTTTTTTTTTTTTTTTTTAGCAAAAATGCAAATTTGACATAAAAATGTTTTGCAAATGGGTGTCAGTTTTGCCCAATTGTTCATGTAGAAAAAACACTATTTTGGGGGGAAAAAAGTCAAAGCATTTTGTGTCAACTTTTTTTTATTTGAAATGACCTTTTATTTTGAAATTTCCTTAAATTTTATTTTAAAATAGTAAAAAATTGCTTGAAATTTAAATGAGATGTTTTCTTTGACCTCAAATGATTTGTTGTTCTGATTTTTCAGAATTGCCAGGGAACTGAAAAATTGATTATTTGCACAGCTCTAATCAAGACCACATCCACACTACATACAATTCCTAACCTGACATAGGTTTCAAGATCATTCATACCATAGTTTTGTTGGTAACTGCCAGTCTGTGTAAATGGGGGAAAAGCATTTTTTGCTTTTTAAATAAAAGACGACTGGAAACAATTACTTCTCAGCTCCGTTCTCCCTTATCTGTATAGGCTGGCAATCACATTTTCAAGATGTGATCTGTGTTACAACTGGAGATTTTTTTGGGGTAGCGTAATCGGGACTTTAAGGGGGTTGCTTATAGTACCCCAAATTTTTTTCTGCCCAACATACCTTGAGATCAAAATGGGCAATTTGCAGAGTGTGAAGATAGTAAACACCATTGAGGATTTGTTTGAGAAATTCTGTGGCCTCCTCCTCAGTCAGAGATTCCTTTTCAGCTAAAAAATCAAAGAGCTCTCCACCTGCAACACTGAGAGAAGAGGTGCGGGGGTTATCGGCAAGAACATTTTAACTTATTGATTTTTGTAGCGTAACTGTTCTCACAGCCATTTTATAAAGCATCCAGCAGCTCTTAATGACATTCATATCAAAACAGAACATGACAATTTGCATAATTTAATACCTACAAAATCAGTAAGACTTCTTTCCCTACTCCTGAGAATACAGTGGATAGATTTTAACAAGAACTGTGCTGGTTTATATAGCTTAAATTAAAATACCCCATACATGTGTATGCATCTTCACAGAAGTTAAAATTCAATGTTAAGTTAAGCAAATATACTTGAACACAGATAACTGCTGGAATAGATAGAAAACTAAAGTATGTTTTAGCATACACTAGCAGCAAAATGCTAGGGAGAAGAATAGATGATTTTTAAGATTAGAAGGTATCAAGATCAGGGTTTATTCAATCTGCAGTTAGCAGCAGCCCCAACATGCTTTATTTGTGCTCAGAGCATTCCAAAACACATTCCAATCCTTGATTTAATCTAGTGCCCTAATCATTCATATTAAAACTGCACTCAAAACATGCCAAGCACTTTCTACAGAGGAAGACACAGTTCCTGTCCTCAAGGGCATACCTAAAACTCTCACTTCAGATGGTATGTGGGCAGAAAGAAGACAAAGGTCAGAAAGGATGTGTAGGAAACAGCAGCAAGATCTGGACACAGCTTGGAATTGAGGGAAGAGGGAAAGTAAGGAGTTGAAGATAATCCCTTTGTCATTTGAGGTAGGAGCCTGATCAACATGAATCGATGGTGATGTGCTCAGTGACTGAGAAGGGGGAGGCAAGATAAGGACTTGAATTCTGTTTTTTACCTACTAATGTATCTGAACACCATTTTAAAAGTTTTCAAATTCCTCTCACTTTGGGGATTAAAACTGAGACCATTGGTTTATTTGGTCACCTCTTGAATCTTAAAAATCATGTCGTTAACTAGAAGTATACTGGAACCCTCCAAAGTTCCTTTATTTTTCACTCCTTCACATAGTGATTTTCAACAGTCAAATTCAAAATTACAGCTATTAATTCTGTCCACTAGCGCTATCTTAAAATTTGATCATGATTTGAAGTTTTGATAATTAAAAATAGGATTAATATACAACAATCGCTTTATAATCAGTGTAAGTTTTTGAAAATACATTTGACTTGTTCTATTAAGTCTGTTTTTATGTGAGAACTTTCAGCATTGTAATGCAAATTTCATATAAAGTGTATTTTAATGAATTCTTACTGCTTACATCAAGATGGGTGGAAAAAAACGGGTTTTTTTAAGTGACATTTTCTTCCCAATAACAATTATAATAATAAAGAATAAAGGTAACTATAATAATTAAATACAAAAATTAGAGACTATGAGGGAAAGGTTTAACTCCTTTTGTTAGTACAGTAGTATAAAAATGAAATATCTACAAATTAAACACGGCTCACTAGCCGCCTGAGTACAATCCTACTCCAACCCCCTGGGTATAGTCAGGTGTCTAGCCTGAGCCGCTGCGTGCGGTGCTGCACCCATACTGCTATTTTTAGTGTGCTAGCTTATGCACAGCTAAGAAGTGCCCTCCCAGCTGTAGTGGAGATGTACCCATAGTCTTCTGTCATAAAATATGAGGGAAATATTCAGGAACACACTAACAACTTCCACCAATGTTTGCTTGCACTGGAGTACCACTTGGTCTCCTCTACAGTCTCATCTTACTCCCACTGACAACACAAGAAAAACAAGCCTCCTTTACAGTCACATACTTCCTACTTATTTCTACTGGTATTTTAATGATACCTATAGCTGCATAACTTACTACTATTCCTATAGATGGCTGTGAAACTGATCAATTTCACAGTTTCATTTAGGGCAACAGGTAACATAAGATGCCATCCGAAAGTGTACTTCTGTTCAAGATTCCAGATATGTATGGGCTTTATAACTAGAGCTGAGTGAAACTGAAAAAAAACTACAAAATTTCATGGCAAAATTTTTCGCCATTGTGCAATTTCACACCTCCAAAATTTAGACACTGAAATTTCAGGAAACTGGGTTTTCTTTAGGGGACTGCAGCATGTGAAAAAAACCATACTTACCAGAAATATTATTGTGAATTGTTAATTGCAGGAGGTAGCCACAGGGTGGTGGGCCTATCCTGGAGAGGTAGCATAGTTTAGTTCAGTGGTCCCCAACCTTTTTGTGGCCAGTAGCACATTCATGTTTTCAGAAGAGTGTGGCGGGCGCCAACAATTTTTCAAGGCTTCTTTTGTATTTGTACATTAAATAATATGAAAAACATCATATTTAATAGTACATAATATATGAATTCAGAGAGAAGAGAGAAGCCAGAGAGAAGCTGCGAGGACAAAGAACACCAACGCCCGCAGCCCCGGAGTACTCTGTCCCCAGCAGGCATGGGGCCCCAGCATCTCTCCCCTGCTGGGCACTAGGCGGGCCCCGCGCCTGCCGGGGACAGAGAACACCAGCGCCCGCAGCCTGCAGCCCCGGAGTTCTCTGT